TTTTTTTTTTTGGTGGGGGCTGGTGACCAGGACCTTCATACTGAGCTACATCCCCAGCCCTTTTTAAAAAAATGTTTTGAGGCAGCATCTCACTAAGTCACAAAGCTATGCAGGTTGGGCTTGCATTTGTGACCCTCCTGTCTCAGCCTCCCAGCATGCCGGGATATAGGTGTGTGCTGAGTGACTCATGCTTTGTAATAAAGGCCAAAGTCCCTGTCTGTAGTCCCCGTGCTCAGAAAATGCTGGCTTTGACGCGGGGTGGGGGTACGGCACACTCTGTGCCCCTGTGCTGTGGAACAGGAAGCCCCGTCTGGCTCTGGTCATGCACTACCTCTCAGAGCAGCAGGGAGGCGCTGCCTCCTGAGAACCCACACTGCAGCCGCCTTCCGCTCCCAAATGCCGTTTCTCAGCCCAGCTCAGGAACCAGGCCAGGTGACCGTAACCGTGGAAGCAGCTGTATAAATTTATCGCTGCAGAAGAGTTACACGGTCGAAATGCTGCCCAGGGACTCGGACAGGCGGGACGCAGTCACCTCGCCTGCCGCCCGAGCCCCTCTGCTTCGAAGGTAACAGTGCAGACGTGGACGTGCACGCCGTACGACTGGGTCACAGGGACCTGCGCTCAGAAAAGGGTGGGAAGGAAAAAAACGCTAAAGGGCTACTCAGTGGTCGCCTCCTGGGGGTGGAGTGGGGAGGACCGTGGCTTTTTAAAATGTCACGCTGGCTGCGTTCTCTGCCCCCACACCTGACGGTGGCGATTGCACCCGGAGCCTTCGCACTGACCTATGCATCCCCGCCTGCTTTTTCACTTTTTATTTATTTATTTATATTTAACTTAGCGAGACAGGTCCTCGCTAAGTTGCTAACCCAGGCTCGGCTTAAACTTGCAAGTCCTCCTGCCTCAGCCTCTTAGAATGCTGGGCTCACAAGCGTGCACCCCCCTGCACGGTTTCTCTGCATGTTTTGAAGGATGCCGCTTAATGGTTCTGCAGGAGTCCGAGTCCGCCGTCCCGTGGGAGGCGAATGTAACCCTCTCCCTTGTCACCGAGGTTGTGTAGATGACAAGACTGCTGTGTATTGGTGACCATCCAGCTTGTGGCCTTGGAACGCTCCACCAGTGACAGCTGTCACTTCAGAACAGGACACGAGTCATAAAAACTTTGAGAATAAACCTCAAAGGGCTGGGGGCAGGTGGAATAGATGGGGGCGACCCCTAACGGTGCGGTGCAGGGCTCCTCTGGGGGGAGCTGAGAACCTTCTGGAATCCAGAGCGGGGCGGGGCCGGGCACTCACCCAGGAAGCCCTCCTCATCTACGATGATGGTGTAGTCCTCTGGCGTCTCCGTCAGACTGAAGAACTTGCACCTGGGCGGGCACAGACACACGACGTCCAGTTAGTCCTGGCAGGCACCCCGTGGCAGCCATCCACCTGTGCCCTGCCAGGGCGCGCCTCAGTTTACCCAGAGCCCCGAGGGGGCCTGCTGCGTGACCCCGGGAAGCTGCTTGTCTCAGCCTCCTCCGGGCCTGGCTCTGATGGACGTGGGGCCTCCCTAGCGGGGCTGTGTGTTGTGTGTGTGGCCCCCAATCTCTGGGGACCCCCCAGCCAGGCCCCAGGGCCCCGTGTAGGCCTGAGAGTTCTGACGTCGAAGGGAGGGTCTGCAGGGCTGTGGTGAGCGGGGTCCCCACGCCATCCCGGTCCCCTGGTCCTTGGTCATCGAGGCCGGATTCTGACCGGGTGAGCATGGCTGCCTGGGGCATTTCCTGGCTGTGCGCTGCTCATTTCCCCGCAGAACGAGACCCCATCCCTGCTAGCTGAGGACCCCAGAACCTTCCGGCCTGCAGCAGACGCGTGGGGCAGCTCACCGGGGGGGAGGGGCTGGGCTTTAGGCTTCAGTCTCCTCTGCAGCCAGCACCGCCCCACAGCACAGCTCGCGAAAGGCAAAAGGCGAGGGTGCAAATGCGAGTGCGCGCGCGCCCGGGGGGCGGGGCAGGGCCAGCCCTTGGTCTCCTTTAGGCCAGGCGGGACTCCGAGCCCGAGCCTGCGGCGGGAAGCCCATCTGAGAGTCACCAGCTGGGCCTGAGCTCAAAGCGGAACCGGAATTCGAAGGTGGTCACGGGGCTGGGTCCCCTCCCCAGGGTCCTCCCTCGCATCAGCTGCCCGGGAGCCCACAGATGAAGCCCCTGCGATTCCCCAAGCTCTGGAGGGCGGCGGCTCCTCCGGTGTGCCAGGCGCTGCGGGTTCACCCCAGGCGCACACAGCATGTGCCACCCAGAGCCCGCGGGTTCCGTCACGGTCACACCAAAGCGCGGCGCAGGAATCCAGGCAGGGATGAGGAAGGAGTCGCCTGTCTCACAGGCATCTGGCATCGCGCCAGACCAGAGAAGCCACAGCTAGCCGGTGACCCGCTGTGACCGGGGCTGGGGATGTTTTGTGGGTGATGCGTCTGCCCTGCCTCTTCTTTACTTTTTTGAGTTCTAGGGGTTGAACGCAGGGCCTTTGCACTGAGCTCCATCTCCACCCCTTTTTGTTTTTAATTTTGAGACAGGGTCCCACTAACTCCCCAACATCCCCAGGTAGGGCTCCTAGTTGTGATCTTCCTGCCTCAGCCTCCCAGCGTGCTGCGGTAACAGGCCTGCGGGGGCGGCAGTCACACGACTCACACATTTGTCACAACTCAAAGACCTGCCCACTGCGGGTAGGGTGAGCGTGGCTGCGTGTCAACAACACTTGTATCACAAACCTGGCCTGAAGGGCGCACTGGGGGTGGGGGTGGGGTGGCCTCCTGTCCCCTGACCTCTGGCTCCACCAGTGCAGACGCTGCCATTTCCGCCTGGTCTGGTTTTCAAATCACATCCGTCCCTGACAGTCCCACAGTCAGTCTGCAAACTCTGCCACAGAGACAGCAAACTGTCACCGCAGTGAGTGGCAACCACGGGTGTGGCCTGGCCGCTTCCTAGGACGCCGTGTCCCCAAAGCCCCCGGATGCCATACGCAGGTGGGCATGGGGAGGGACACTGGAACCTGCTTGTCTCCACCGCTCCCGAGGCCCAGAGCGACACTCCAGAAATAGCCGCACTAATTCCTCCCGAGGGCAGAAGGCAGGGGACACGGGCATAAATAACTGCGTGGCCGCAGCGACCGTCCCCAGGCCAGCACCGGCCCTGCCAGCTGCTGGATGTCCGTCTCCCTGCGATGTGCCCAGGCCAGCCTCCAGCAGGGACAGCGGCTGCTCTCGCTCTAGTCACCAACTCAGAGGCAGCCCAGGTCCTTCAAGGTCAAGCTCCAGAGCCCCCTCCGGGCAAAGCCTTCCCTAATCCCTCAGCACCAGCCACTCCTTCTGCCATCACAGACATGGTCCTTCCTCAGGGACCCATGGCTTCCTGCAATAAGGACCTCCAGGCCATTGTGGATGGCAGGGCTGGTGACACTTCACAACTCTAGGGGGAGTTTGTTTATGTCACAGTCTGAGTGAAACATGCCTGCAGAATTGAGCAGTATACAACCTGTGCAACTGCACATGACAGTCTTGAGTGCTTTCCACAGCCTATATTACCAAGACCACTTTGGCAGTTTGCATCCTTCAGCAGACTTGTGCTCTCAGGCGGGGGCACTCGGTCCTCTACACACACACCCAGAACCTGACACTGCCTGGACCTAGACTCCATGACTACGCATCTCAGGTAGGTGGTTACAGTAGAAAACTAAGCAACACAGCTGGCCTGGGAGGTGATGAGCCCAGGCAGTGAGCAGCAGGCTGATGCTGTCTTCGTGGGTGGGCCATGGGCGCTGGGGTGCTGAGTCCACCTCCTCTCCCCTCTCCTCCCGATCCTCCTGCCTCAGCCTCCCAGAGTGCTGGGATGACCACACAGTGCTGGGATGGAACCCAGGGCTCTGAGATCCTAAGCGAGGCCCCAGCCCTGAGCTGCATCCTCAGCTCTCGATGCTGTGACACCTGCTTATCAGACCCCGGCCCACTGCCCGTCCCCGCTCTCTCCTGGGGTCCCTGGCCCAGGCCTGGTGCTCAGTCCATGTCTGCAGGCACTGTGAGGGGTCCTGAACGCACCCCCGGCTGCTTCCAAACCCCTGAGAGCACCAGACCCTCTCCCCAAGTGCCTGATATAAAAGGGCCAGGTATTCGCAGGGGACCCACGCACTTCCTCGGCAGATGTTGCGCCCCCTCCAGGGGATGTACAGCCCCTAGGCCAAGACTGGCACACACTTCCACTCGAGGTTCTGTGTAGTGCTTGGCCTGCAGCAAACACAAGGTTTTGTTTATTTTTGAAGCAGGGTCTTGCTTTGCACCCTGACTTGGCCTCGAAGTTGCAATCTTCCTGCCTCAGCCTCCCGAATGCTGAGATTACAGGTTTGTACCACCACAGCCCGCCAAATCCCAGCGGGAATTTTTTTCCCCTAGTAGTTTCAACCCTCCATTGAGATGACCGCCCCCATTTCACAGATGGGAACACTGGGGCCCAGGTGGTTGGGGAAGCTGCTGCCTTGGCTGCCCTGTGACTCAGCCTTTCTGCCCAAGGTCCCCACCCCTACATAGCCATAACGGCAGACAAGGCGGGAGAGAGCGTCTGGGACATCGTGTGCTCCTAACACAAGCCTGGCTGCAGGCCAGGTGTCCATCGGCAGGAGTACAGCAGAACGACAACAGCAGGATTACCCGCTTGACACCAACGAGCCATGGGGACGAGCCCAGCTGGTGATAGCACAGGAGGTGGAAAAACAAGTTCCCAGTGTCACGTACAGCATGGTGCCCTCTCTACAGAGTTAAAGCAGCCTTGATTGAAAAATACACCTCAAGGGCTGGGGATATAGCTCAGCGGCGTAAGTGCTTGCCTGGCAAGCCTGAAGTCATGAGTTCGATTCCTGGTGCCCCCCAAAAAAGAAAAAAGAAAAAAGGAAAGAAAAAATGAGGCTGGGCCTGTTGGGGAAAGCCCATGAGCCAAGCCCTCTGGAGGCTGAGGCAGGAAGATTGCCAAGATTTTGAGGCCAGCCAGTGAATTCAAGGCTAGCCTGAACTGCACAGTGAGACTGTTTTTTTTTTTTTAAAAAGGAAAAACAAAATCATCTCAGAGGAGTTCACCTGGCTACAACATAGGACGCAGCGGTGGATGGGGACGGGGACATACACACACACACACACACACACACACACACACACACGCACGCGCGCGCGCACTGTCCCAGCTGGTGCATGCTGACGCATCAGTGATACCTGTGCCTGGCTTGGGCCTCAGAGCACAGGGCTGCAGCACAGTGCAGAAGGCAAGGGTCGGAGGCCCCGGGGGGCCGTGGCACCCAGCACCCAGCACCGTCTGGGTCACTGAGCCGCTGGCCTGGCCATGGGGCTAGAGTTCACGTGGCCCCCCACCCTGGTCCTGGGACCACTCTGGCAGAGCTGCGGGCAGTGGAGCAGTGCTCCGGAATGGTGATGCTTTTGAAGTCTGGGCCAGGGCCTCAGTCCTGTGCCAGCCTGGTGGCCTGGGACATCGCGTGGCCTCAGCCTGGCCACACACTCAGGGGGTGACCCCATGTCCCCTGCAACACAAGTTGGCACAATGTGGATGCTGTGGGCCTGCATTCGTTTCCGTGCTCCCTTTCAGTGCCAAGCTTGGGCAATGGTGTTGATGTTCCCGACCCTGCCGCACTCTTCCTATGGCAGCTGAGGACACAGACACGAGACTGCTTAGTTTCCAGAGAATGCATGCAGTCGTCAGTACAATGAAAGCCAGGCATGGTGGTGCACAACTGTAATCTCAGCACTCTGGGAGGCTGAGGCAGGAGGACTGCAAGTTGGAGTCTAGCCTGGGCAACTTAGGGGCTTAGTAAGCCCCTGTCTCAAAATAAAAAATAATGGGCTGGGATACAGCTCAGTATGAAAGACCTGGGTTCAATCCCCAGGACTGCAAAACAAACAAAAAAAGTACTGAACTCAGGTGAAATACTGGGCTCTGAAGCCACCCGTGGCCCTGCCCTTGCCCTGCACCCCCCAGAGAGCTTGCTGCTGTAGGACTCACACCCAGGCCCTGCTGGGTCCGGTCCAGAGCTGTTGTCCTGTTGCCTAGCAACTGAATGTCCCGGAGTGTCACTGGCATCCCATGCCACTCAAACGCTCCTCCCTCCCCAGTGTCCCAGCTGTCCGCATCCCTTCTCCCTTGGCCCAGAAAGCTGGCTCTGGGCACACAGGTCCCCTGGGGCACCTCCCTGGCGGGCTGTCCTCCTGGGCTCCTTCCCCGCCCGGCTCCTTTCCTCCATCCCGGAAACCGTCTCCCCCGCCACCTGCCCCCATTTCCGGCCACTGCCACCTGGTCAGCTCCCCCGTGACACGGCCCTCACTCTCCTGCCCTTGACCTGTCGCTATGACCCTGCCTGGCTCCTCTTTTGCTTCCTGTAGGGATCTGTCTCCTCCTTGAGGCCCGGGGTGGCTCTGAGCAGGGTTCCCAGGCCCTGGTTCTCTCAGGGCTCCAAACACAGGCCGGCCCTCTCACCCGCCTTTGCCTGGGAACACGCATTTCTTTTCCCCTTCTGAGACACTGGGGTTGGACTCAGGGCCTTTGCACTACGCTACGTCCCCAGCACTTTTTGTTTTATTTTGACACTGGCTGGACTTGAACTTGTGATCCTTCTGCCTCTGCCCCAGAGTGCCGGGATGACAGCCATGTGCCCCCACCCCTGGCCAGCAGTCTCTTCTCACATCCACTGTTTTTTTTTGTACTGGGAATTGAACTCGGGACCTTGCGCTTGCCAGGCAGGCGCTTATGCCACTGAGCTAAATCCCCGGGCCTCACATCCACTCTCTGGCGGGGGAACGGTTGCTCCCCGTTATCTCCTGGATGGGGAAACTGAGGCTCGGAGAGCTGAGCGCCCTGCCAGGTAACAAACAGATGATCCCCGGTCTCCATGGGGACGGAATGGCGCCAAGGCCAAGGCTGAGTCACCTCTCGGACACAGGCAGACGGGAAACCTGATCTGTTTACCCTGGGAGCCAGGACTGCGAACCCCGCACGCCAGGCTCCACCTGTGGGCTCTCCCCACCAAGTCTGCAGGGCCCCAGCACCGCCTCTCAAGGTGGGCAGGGAGGAGTGGAGCTCACCAGGAGACCCAGATACACTCGCAGAGGGAACAGGGTGGTGGCGGTTTGCTACTGCTCCCGGCCTCCCCTCGTACACCCCGAAGGAGGCGGGCTCGCCCCTTTGTGAGGCATTTGCTCCATCCTGGGGTGGCTGATTTTTGGAAGCCTCCTTTAAATGACACCTGGCCAGGCAATGCCCTCCGGGGACCCAGGGATCCCTCAGTAGCAGGCATGCTTCAGTGGGGCAGGTGACAGGTGACAAGGGAACCGAGAACACCACTGCCTCTGCACTGCCACAAGGGAACCAGCTCAGGGCCAGGCCGCTGCCAGAGCCCCAGCCGTCCTGTACCTGCTCTCAGCGTGGACTGAGGGGAGGCAGGCCACTCCCTCAGACGCGCGAGTCTTCAGCCCAGCTCAAGGGCGCTGGGCTACATCCCCAGTCCTTCATTTTATTTATTTTTAAGAAAAGTTCCTGTTAAGTCACTAAGTTGCCCAGGCTGGGCTTGAACTCAGGATCCTCCTGCCTCACCCTCCCAAAGTGCTGGGATTAGGGCCATCACCATGTCTGGCTGTGGTCCTTGTTTTCCCACACGTTTATACAGGAAACAAACAGTAAATACACAAGGTGCTTCCGCGGGGCGGGTGGGGGTGTCCCGGTGGCGTTCCTGCCTTGGGGACCAGCGCTGTGCCCTGCAGGTCACCGGGGTGCAGTTCCCTGGGGTGTGAGAGGGCATGGACCACGGGGTACGATGTGAGTGTGCCGCCACTGTCCCCTGCACCGGGGAACGAGAGGCCGCAGGGTGGGGGCTGCAGTCCAAGTCCTCCTATTCCCCGTCCCGGACATGTGGGGAGAGGTCACCCAGAGTGGCGTGCGCTCGGGCTCTGAGGTGGGTCCCAGGCACCCCCAGAAGCCCTGCAGGGCAGCGGGACCAGGAGAGGGGCTGAGGATGGAGGAGGATGCTGCTCTTTGCTGTAGGCAAGAGGTTTTTTTTTTCTTTTTCAGACAGGGTTTCATGAGGTAGTTCTTGAACTCCCTATGTAGCCCAGCCTTGAACTCGCAGTGATCCTCCTGCCTCAGCCTCACAAGTGCTGGGATTACAGGTGTGCACCACCATGCTGGGCCTTTTTTCTTCTTTTTGTAGCAGTAAGGATTGAACCCACAGGTTCTCGACCTGAGCTATATATCCAGCCCTCTGAAAAACGTTTTTTATTTTGGGAGAAGTTCTTACTAAGTTATCCAGGGAAAAAAGTCAAACTTGTGATCCTCCTGCCTCAGCTTCCCTAAGCACTGATGCCAGACATGTTGTGGCACCACGCCTGGCTACGAAATGTTTTTAAGGAGATAAACTCTGAGGCTGAATCATTATTTTCATAGATAATGTACAGCCTGCCCTTCGTATTTGTGGATTCCACAGCTACAGATTCAACTGTGGATGAAAAACATTAGAGAAAAAGGGTGCTTGTACTGAACATGTACAGGCTTATTTCTCTTGTTATTATCCCTAAGAGATAGGCTATAATCACTATTAACATTGCAGTGTTACTGGATTAGGTCTGTGTGCAGCGGCAATGCAAACCCCACGGCGTTTTATGCAGAAGAACAGAATAATTGTGGGTTCGGGCATCCACAGGGGCCTGGAACCGATTTCCAAGGATAACAATAGACACCTATAAAATTTTTTACCCTAAACTCATTTTTGAAAATTGTGAGCTGGGTGTGGCAGTACATGTAGTCCCAGAACTCAGGGAGGCTGAGGCAGGAGGATTAGAAGCTCCAGCCCAGGCTGAGCAACACAGTGAGACTTTGCCTCAAAATAGAACATTTTTAAGAAGGCTGGGCTTGAGGCTCACTTGTCTAGCATGTGCTACCGCCCTGGGTTCAATCCTCAGTACTACAAAACAGGCTGATGACAACAGATCTGGTTTCTGACCGTGGCAGCTCCTCAGGTACCCAGAGCAGTTGTTCTGGTCCCATGATCCTACGCGGCTGTCTGCTCTCTAAGCTCTTGCTGCTCCTGCCCAGGGGTTGCTTCAGGGAAACCTCATGCAGTTACGGTGGCTGAGAAGGCCCACAAGAGGGAAGATGGAGGACTAGACAGACGACCAGGGATGCTTCAGTGCGGCCCAGTCCAAGTGTACAAGGTTCAAAGCGGAGGTCCCAAGGCCTTAATGTTTTCTCTGGGCTTCAGCTGCCTGCAAGGGGCCTGAGCCGTCCACACCGAGGGGGGCCCTATGTTGCTCAGCAGCCCCTCCCAGGTACGCCCAGCAACAGTGCACAGGCTAACCCAGCCTGGGCACCCCACGAAGTTAGCCACAGGCTCCGCCCATTGCGGCCCACAGCAGAGACCCAGAAATCACCCGGAGCGTGAGCCCAGGGGCCTGGGAGGACAGTGACCCTGAGGTCTCGAAGCTGTCACTGTCACCCAGAAGCCAGCAGCGTTCGCTGGGCCCTCCATGGGTGGGGAGTGGGGACGGAAGGTTTGTGGTCCTGCAGGGTCCAGGAAGGAGGAGGAGCCTGAGATGTCCAGAGAGGGTGGGGTGGGGGTTACAGCTCACAGATGTGCAAGGGACAGGCGCGGGGACACCGCAGGACGCAGACACAGCCGGCACCGTGAACACCGTTGTGGAGCAACCTTGGCTTATGGGGAAGGATGGCAGAGATGGTGCATTCTCTGCATAGAAGAAACAGAGGGAGCGGCCCGCTGAGCAATGGGGCCAGGACCTGGCTCAGCGTGCAGATCTCCGGGAAAGCGGGCGCTGAGGCTGTCCGGGGACACCCGCCCCTGCAAGCCAGGCGCGTGGCTGTGGGTGGTGAGATCGTCCGCTTCTTCGAGAAGAGACGGAAAGCCAGACTTCTGTGCTCGCTCTCAATGCGAAGTGTTGATGTGGTTTTTGAACAACACCTCGG